TTTTTTTGTTCTCGAAGACTGAAGACCATGCCACATTTTGTCATTCACCCAGCCCATGTGACTGAATGGCACACACACGAACTGCTACTGAACCCAGCATGACTTCAACTCCTGATTAAATCGGATGAAAAAACAACAATGCCGGGGGCTAACCGGTTCGAAAGAAGGAAGAAAAGAGGACTGCTGAACATTCCCACTGGCTGCCATAGGAGACGGTCACCTTGGAACAGGGACCCACTTACCCAGATTCTCTGTATCTGGTCGATGATCCTTGCGATCCATGGCCAGAAGTGGAGAACCCAGGAAAGGGGCACTGTTCCCCTTAAACACCAATCAAAGTCGAAGGAAACGCTGTCAGCTGGGATTTGCAGACCACAATTTTTTATTACTATTTTTTGTTATAACAAAAATAGTAAAATACCAGCCTCTTATATTCTGGGGGGCATCAGTCCGGTTACTTATTGCCAGCAAGCATAAAATATTTTCAACAAAAGAAAAGTGAAGAAGGGTCAGCCTAGCCCTTGCAGTACGAGTCGCCTAATCAAGGGGGGGACTGCTACGAGCTGACCCACCCCCAAACCATAGCCTTCCTACCTTCTTCCCCCGCATACAACGTACTGTATCTAGACTGAAAGATACATCAAATACAGCTATAATGACCGTACGTGTTGTATTCGGGGGAAGAAGGTAGTCTGATGACCGGGAAGCTTACTAGCAGCGCAGCACTCAGTCACACATCAGGTGGGCCTTATGGAGGACAAGGCGTGGGGGAGGCCCTCCTAGCAGCCTCTCGGGCCGCAAGTCTTAAGTCTACTCCTACGCATTCAAACGAAAAGCAACCACACAAAAAAGAAGCCAGCAGCAATCATCACTCCAACTATTCCTCTCCTCCCTACTACTACCCGTTATCCGTACAGATATATTTTTCCCCTGCCCTCCTGTTGTTCCCCCCTATCAATCAGCAGGCTTTCCTTTCTCGCCGCACCCTATATGTTTTACCTGCATTTCATCATCAATGGTCCCCATCTTGCATCACCAAGTTTTTCCTTTTTGCAAATATACCCGTCTTCACCATCCACCCCCCCCAGGGCACCCTCCTACCCCAAAGAAGCCTTCCTATTCTACCCAACCTTCCATCATAACCTAATATGGTACAGTACCAAAAGTCGCTCCTCCTTAACTACCAATTCCTACTTCAAGCGACTACCTACTGCACACTTCCGGCATCCCATCGCTCTCTCATGGACCTATCGTCAGGGCCGTTCTTCACTCCTATCATATCTAGGGGCGTGGCGCTGCAAGATGGGGCCCTACTGCAGTCGGCCTGTTTGAGGGTCACGATTTACCATCTGCGGGTATGGACCCAATCTCTCCCAGAACCCATTCACCCTGGCCTCCAGGCCTCCCCTATATGCTCACTCCGGCGTAAGTCCGCCATTAGGGCAGACCACAAATTTTCATCATCGATTGATCATTTTTTTGCCTCTTTTTTTTGGTTGGTTGGGGGGGGAGGGGGAGAACTTCTCTTTTTCTCCCAAATGCCAAAGAATGCTGCATTTCTACGAGTACTGCACATTACGACTGGCTGGCATATGAGACCTTGAAGATCGATCAAAAGCCAAAGCAGACATTGACAGATTCAAAATTTTCCGATCATTGTTCTTTTTCTCAGTCTTTTTTTTTGTGTGTGTGGTGTGAAACGATTCCACACAGTCAGTCCACATAGCCGGGTTCCAGTTAATCCGGTAGCCTACAGTAGCGGCAGGGTAGGCCATTGCAAGTGTCTGTAAGATGAGGTTGTAGGTAGGTAGGTAGCTACAGTATCTGCTAATACGTCAAGTCCCTAAAGTTCAATTTCGCAGCAGCCTCCCAAAGAAAGTCGGGAACTTTCCCAAAATGGCAATATGGCAAAGGCACAGGAGGCTGGTACTGATTGAAGCATATGCACGAACAGCCCACTACGACTATATATTTTGGGTTACAGTAGCGGAAGGCATTTAGTTGTTCATTTTGCAGAATTGTGGAAGCGCTGCAAGAGCTTGTGCGATCAAGCGACCGGGACAAAGGAGGAGCACAAAGGGGAGAAGTGCACAGCGCCTGGCTGCTAGAGTCTGCCATCGCCAGGTGAGAGACGAGAGGTTCCCTGGATGCCATAGCCGGCCAAGATCAGCAAGGTACACCGTAGTGGCATTCAGGGTAGATCTAGGATGTCGAGAGAGGGACAGTGAGCGAGGGACAGTGAGCGAGGAACAGTGCAAGAGAGAGAGAGAGAGAGAGAGAGAGAGAGAGAGAGAGAGAGAGAGAGAGAGAGAGAGAGAGAGAGAGAGAGANGAGAGAGAGAGAGAGAGAGAGAGAGAGAGAGAGAGAGAGAGAGAGAGAGAGAGAGAGAGAGAGAGAGAGAGAGAGAGAGAGAGAGAGGAGAGAAGCGGCCGAGGGAGGAGGAAGTCGGGTACATACTTGAGGCGTGCTGCAGCTGTTGAAACCACTTATTCCCAAACTTTTTCCAAATGTATATTATTGTACTTTGAGTGGAACTTTCGAATTTGCACTGTTCATGAACATGGCTCAAGCTTGTGTTAACTTCCATCTGATTGCTCTCAATTTGCATGTTCTATTCTGAGTTGAATCTTGCGAGTGTCATTCCAGTTGGAGGGAAAATGCCACATTTTCATAAATAGAGTAAATTACTCTGCCAAGAATTAAAACTTCGAACCTGCTGCACACCCTGCTCCGGAGTCTGGAGGACTCCCCTTCTTTTTCTTTTCTGAGGACCGGTCTTTTGAATTTGAAGGGTGAAGAAATGCAGTCGTACACCAACAGACACCAGTACATGCCAGCTAGTGGTGGCGGCCCTCTTTCGGAGGCCGCTGGCCTCCTATTCATTTTATCCACGGCTCTCAGCCTCTGAAATTTTAGGAGAGGCTCAAAACAGGTTCTCCAGTCGCCTGGGGCCATGTGCTGGTGGACCGTGGTGGTTTAAACCACGAGTACTTTCCCAGCCATTTTGCTCTGACTCTGACTCGGCCATAAACGCACCGCATCCTTCAGGGCTTCGCATACCAGACAGGACACTGGCTGGCGGCACCCGGCAAAACAACAACAACAACAACAACAACAACAACAACAACAACAACAACAACAGCAACAACAACAGAAGAAAAGGAAAAAAAAAAAAAAAAAAACGCCTGCACTGGCGTGCAGCAGAGATCCATATCGGGAAGAAGAGGCTTGGAAGATTGCTTCGTTCCATGCCGCACCCCAGTGCAAGGGTGGTTTTCCGGACGGACCTCGCCTCAAAATCGGGCGGAACATGGAACGAAGAGTTTTTTTTTCTTTGCACATTTCCCATATATCTTGTGCCGACGCAGTGGGCACACCCTCGCCTCAAAATCACGGGTCGGGTCTTCTGGATGGAAATAGCTCGCCGCGCCTTGCAATTTGCCTGTGCAATTTTTTATTATTATTATTTTTTTTTAATATACCCTTCGATTACGGGCCCACTGCCCAAGGCAAAAGTTACAATGAAAATGAAGGCTTCAAATTCAGGTGCAAATTCGTTTTTCTGAGGGCTGCACGCAGCAGAGAGCATCGTAGAAAAGAGGCTCCGACATACTGGTGTTTTTTCTAAGCCCACACTGCATTGAATTGTGGACACCTTATCTCCTCTCCACCAGCCAAAGGACCCGCTCGCTCAGATTCGTAGTTTCCTACCATAGATTATGAAGAACAATGGCTTTATTATTATACTTTTAAAGTTTCAAGGCCACCACTAGCTACGAGCCTGTTTTTGCCGAGGCGGAAAATAACTGTGCGCCAAGCTCTGCCAAAGCATCAGCGCGGCGTTTTTTTTTTCACTTGTTTTGTTTTCTTTTCTTTTCTTCTCTTGGCTGGCGCTCCCAGCTATTGTGGTCCATCCGGTATCACTGTTCATCCGAAGAACCCGGAATGTGACATTTGCGATTCTTGACATTGCCTGAGAAAAGGACAGCGATCGAGCTCACTGGCTAGAGCACCGGCTGGAAATGCGCATTGTGGTATAAGGTTGTGGGTTCAAAACCCCGTAGCCTTGCGCATGGACACCGGCAGGGCGTTAGATTGACGCATGGCTGGTAAAACATCCCCTTGGGCTGACGCATGGTAGTATCACAGACACTGCCTGCGCACCACCCAAGGGTAGTCCATGGTGTTGCATGCTGGTTCTGGGTTTCACAGGGTTTGCTTGGGGTGGTGGTCCCAGGTGTTCTGATGTTCTCTCCAGCCAGTCTGGCATATCACACGATCATTCCATTTCCGGTAGTTGCTCATACGGTAGAGTCTTGGATTACATGTTACAAGGTCACGGGTTCAAGCTTGGTTCGGTCCTTGCGGGGGGTCCTTGTCCAGCTGGTCCAAGATAAAAAACAGGCTGGGGAGCTAGTCACTGGTGGGGTCTAGTGCCTGCAGTTGGTTCAGGTAGGTTGGATAGGGTGCCATTTCCTACTGACATTCGGATAGAACTGTCTGGTGGCTATATATTGTCACATCACTACAAACTAAAAGAGCGCACTTTGCGGAACAAAGAATAAAAGC